AGCGGTTGGATTCCCCAGCTGAGCAGCTGCTGAGCTGCCAATAGGTACCAGGATGGCTCAGCTAAAAAAAAAAAAAAAACGAAAAAAAATATCATATACCCAATCTTATCAGTGGTCCTTATCTCCCTTCTTGTAAATCCAGAGGAATATTTTTATTAACTATTTTGTAAATGCAAGTTTTTAAATAGCTCTAGAAACATTTTTAAGGAGAAGGGAATTCTACCTCATCCCATTTTTTTAGTTGAAATGGTTTTTTTAAAGAGATCAAATCATTTGCTGTTTGTTTACTTTTTGGTACAACCAGAAAATAGTAGGATATTGAATACGGGATGCTTTGATTGTTTTGGGTGTCAGCTTGACATTCCGTAGATGGAGTAGTTTTTATATCCCATAATACAAAGTATACTAAATGGCAATTTGGAGTCAGTCATGCATTTCACATGTCTTGAACATTTTAAGTTAGTTCGATTCCCATGTTTTTGGTAGAATTGTTTCCTAAAGAGAACCACTCTTTGATCTTGGCTCACCATCAGAATTTTGCGCACTCAGTAACATCTTTGGTGTGGTATCCAGTTTTCTTAGTAGCTTTGTTTATGTGCTGTGAAAGACTAAAAGTTTGATTATGTAGTGTATATGGTATTAAATTGTGAATTTATGTGACTTTGATGTAACAGTGTATCAACATTGGAAGATATTGGTGCTTGATATTCTATTAAGGAAATTTTGCCTCCAAATTTTAAGCTGGAAAGTCACTGGAATAACTGTCTAAAAAAGAATCACAACTACATGTTTTTTAGGTTTTCAGTACGAATTGAAATGTCTGTGTACTTATCCTCAGAACAACCAATAAAATCTCAATTATGAAAGAAAAAAATTTTCTTTTAAATGGCAGAGTAATTCCATTTGGCAAAGATTAAGTATGTCATTGCTGCCTAGTGTTGGAAAGGGCAGACACAAATAAGCCACGGCAGTGGGGGAATCCAGCCCTGAGCTCTCCTGGGCCCTGGCCCCCTGCAGATTATTTATCTGCTCTTTTGATGACCTAACTCATCTAATCATGACAGGCCCCAAGGCCCCAGGGTCAACTCCTCAAGAAGTCTCTCTTAAACTTCAGACTGAACGTCTCTGCTCTGAGCTCTATCTGTCATAACAAGAATGTGAATTGATTAACTCTTTTTGGAGTGAAATCTGGCAATATGCAGCAATAAATATATGTTGATAGAAAAAAATAAAAATTCATACCCTTCAATCCAGCAATTTCACTTCTAGGAATTATCTTAAGGAAATAATCAGACAAATGCCCAAAGATGTATGTGCAAGAATCTGCATTACAGCATTGTTTATAATAGCAGATATTGAAAAGAACCAAAATTTCCATAAATTGGGGTTTGTGGAATAAATGTTGATACATCAACAGTGAAACTCCAAAAAGCAGTTTAAAAAGATGAAGTGAATCTATACATTTTGACAAGCAGTGATTCCCATGATGTATTGGTATAGAAAACAGCAAGTTATTGATCTCACTTTTGTTTAAAAAATTAATGTGTATTGTGAGCATATGTGACATATATACCACACCTTTGAAATACTCATAAACCATAACCACGCTCCAGAAAGCACATAATCTTAACTATCCTTGTAATCCAGTCCCTGCCTAGCTTTCTCCCAGCTTCATGGTGCATAAAAGAAGCTGCAAAACCATTATTCTCTGGAGCATTTGAGATCTTCCTCCCTGGCATATGTTGTCAGTTTGGTTCAAATAAACTCTTATAAAAATTATCTACAGGTTTGGACGTTTCTTTCGTCAACACAAGTAATGTAATATTGGGTTGTCGGAAAAGTCATCACGCATTTTTGCAATGAAAATCATAGAAAAACTACATCATAACTTTTCCGACAACCCAATAGTATACACCATTCAAAAAGGAAGAACTCCATTGACCCACAACAATGTAAACAATGACGATATTAAGGAAAATCCTTGTTTGTTTTATTTTTTGGTGTAACAAAATCTTTTTTATTTTATTTAATCTTTTCAAATCTGTAATCTATGACCACCTTTCAGTTACTTATTAATATCTTATCAAACTAGACCACTGATAAAAGTAAAGATTGCACATAGACTTTTGTCATAAAGAAGGTAAATGTTGACTCTAGGAAGGATCTAATGTTTCTGCCCGCCCATCACCCACCATTCTTATAACAGTACTTCAGTTTCCTGTGGTGAAATGCTTCCTCTTCGACCTTAGGTTCATGTGGTATACGTGAGGGACTGTCACCCATATTTGAGTCATCGGGAGCAGAATTCCTCCACTCTGGTTCAGGAATGTGCACACAATCCCAGGCAGACCAATGATAGTGAGCTCCTGGACTCTGCCGAACTACTAGGCAAGAAGCTCTTATTCCAGTGGGATGAGGAAGCTGGTAGGACGCAAGTCTTCAGCTTCTGATGGCCATCATTCTGCCTGAGAATGGAGCCGACTGAACCCCTTAAAAACTGGCTTCAGAGTAAAGCTTAAAATTACAACTGGGCCATCAGGTCGTCAGGTTTAAAACAATAGGGTCTTATCATTGTCAGATTATGATGTTGTAATACCATCTCTGAAAATAAATGCACACTCATCCCAGAGTCTCCAAAATCTTTTACTTTTGGAGTCTAACAATCTTTTTCTATGAAGTAGCAAAATGGAGGAGCATTCTTAGTAGTCATCTGACAAAACTGTCCATTATCCTTGACATTCAAGATTGAGTGCAATAATTAAAAAAATACATTACCATTTACAGAATATATTTCAGATCATGTGAATTAAAATTTAGTCATGCCTGGCAAGGAATAGAAAACAGAGGCTAAGATGCATATGTCCATCATAAAAGATACCTAAATGGCATACTTAGGGTGACTAGTATTAAGGATTTAAACATAATACAGCTTTCCTTAGAGGAAACAATTTTCATCTCTAAAGAGCATTCACTTCTGACATCTCAATTCCTGATTTCAGTGGCTGCACACTGCCACACTTAAGACAAGTAAAGTACAGGTCAAATAAGTAACCCCTCTTAACATAGTAATAACAGAAGATACGAGAAGATATGTCCTATCATGTGAGGCATGGTGGGTCATACAGAGAACATTGTCTGCCACTGGTGGCTAATGTATTGTCACCATTAGGATCCCCAGTAAGAGCAATACACCATGAAGATACGTTGGCTTTCAATTTTTGGATATTCATGAGTGGTAAGAGAAAAATGAGAAGCTCAGCAAAACCATGCCAGAGAAGCCCCGTTTATACTCCAAAACTGAAAGCCAACTTCACGCAGTTTTGAAGCTTGCAAAACACAGAACAAAACGTAGGAGACAGTCTGTCAAAGTTGCAAACTTGCTCCTTTGAAGGAAAATCAAGAAATTAATCAACCTACATAATTTCAAAAGTCCAACCACAAAATTCACACACTGTTTGGCTTTCCAAATGATGCTAAGTGTTGGTTTCAAAATCAATTGTAGCGTCATTCTTCTAGTCACGTCCCACCAATTGGACAGATAGCATACCAGAGCTTTTGATTTTTACTGGTTGGCTGATATCTCAGGTTTGAGGAAAAATGGTTTTGCACTGAATATTTAAAACTGACTGTCCCACAGTGGCATTTTTAGAGGAAATGGTGAATCTCCACAAGAGTGCTTTTACCTCTGGTTCAAAGAGGGCTAGCTAACAGCCCTGCCTTACATCCACAGAAGCACTGAGTAAACAGGGACCAAAAAGCTGCTCCAGGGCCCTGTTTACTCTAAGTGCATCCAAAGGACTTATTCTTAGCACCTGTGTGTACTCTGGAAGCCACACCTTCTCCAAAGGTCTCTTTTTCCCCTTCCTGCAGTTTCCTCAAGACTTCATAGCCTATAGCAGTGGGGATTCTGGCTGCAAGTTCTTGACATCCTTGCCCCATCCTAGCCGGGAACTCAGATGTCTGCAAACCACCCCCACTCCATGTAACTTTTTCTGAAACATACTAGGAAGCTTCAAGGAAAATCTTTAAGTTGCAAAAGATTATATATAGCATGATACCCTTTAAAAATTTTTGAGGTAACATTGGTTAATAAAGCACGATACTCCTTTTGAAAGTTGAAGGTAAGTTAAATACACACACAAACATACACACATTTTAGGAATATATCATACATGGAGTCATTAAAATTATATAACAAAAAAGTGAGGAAATGATGAATATGAAATTCAAAAACATGGATTACCAAGGTTGGAGACAGGTTTGGGATGGGATGAGGGAACAAAGAGATCATGGAGTTAGACATAGGATATCATTCAGGGATGAGTTTATAGGTGATTATTATATTATTGAAGATGGTTAGATGTGCTAAAAAAAAAAAAAAAAAGCAAGCCACACATGGACCAATGCTGAGGATATATTAGGATCCAAGTATACTAATTAACTCAATTCGGCTGCCCCTGAGGTTGAAAAAAATTAAGAGAATCCTTATGTGACATTAAAAATTAATCTGGAGCCATTAACATCAAGACAATATCCTCAACCACTAAAAAGATTATGACTTGCTGAAAGCTCAGATGATGATTATCATTTTTTAGCAATAAAGAATTTTTAAACTAAAACAATTTTAGGTAAGAGTTCTAACATATGCCAAAACTATGGGTTTCAAGAGATGCATACCACATACTAACAATGTCATTTAAGTTTGCCAGTCTTTTTTTATTCATCTAGGTTGGTAAGGCATTCCAATAACGGGCTTCTTAAGCCCCATCACCTCCCCACTGCTCCAGTCTAAATAGTCTCCCCTCCCACAATAACCTGCCCCAGATTTCAAAGCTGATGGGAAGGAAAGTGTTTATTTGAAATGGGATAATTAGCAGTGAAATTTAAATTTAAGGAAGAAAGTTTAAGTTGTTATTTGGTAATAGGAAGTTTGTATACCAAGGCAAAGAATGCAAATAGAAGTGAGCTGAGGGAAGGGTGGCCAGGAGAAGCAGATTTAAAAATACATTCCTCAGGGGCAGCCGGGCAGCTCAGTTGGTTAGAGCGCGGTGCTCATCACACCACGGGTGCCGGTTGGAGCCCCACATGGACCATTGAGTGGCGCCCTCCACAACTATTGGGTCTTCAGAAAAGTCATGACCTATTTCGTCTGTTTTTCGAAGATCGTTTATTTATATAAAGAACAAAGATCAACGATATATTGCCCGTTTTGTTCGATAACCTTTTGCCTACTTTCAGTGAGCTTTATAATTCCTTGTTCATAGAAGAACCTATCTTTATTTGCGAAAAACTGAACAAGGTGCTGATTTACAGCCTGTTGCCACGCAGCTGTGCAGCCATCTGTCCCCCCCATCTTTAACCCTAAAGTGACCCTTTTGAGGACAGTGCTCAATACACATAGCGTCTCCCTGTTTGGCTCCAAAGGATGGCCGGTTAGTCAATGACGGGTAAGATTCCTCGTGGGAGGAACAACCTAAGACAGGCACAGTCGGGTGGAGGCCATTAGGAGAAATCTCGGGGCTGACAGAGGTGGGCATGGGCCCTCACTCGCCCCC